TGTGCTGTTGTCCTGTTGTGCTGCTGCTTCTATGCTGTTGTGCAGCTGCATATGTTGCTCTTAGTGTGTAGGTGGATTTGGTGAAGTCTAAGGGTAATTTAGATGAAACTTTCACATATACAGAATTTTATTTTATTTGTGTGTAACTTTGTATTTTATTTTATTGGATGAAAATTGTAATATTACAGCCTTTTTAATAAAAATATGTAACTTTATATATATGTTAGTGTTTATATATCAATTTAAGTGAAAAAATGCAAAATAAAAAAAAAATTGTTTTTATTTTTTTGGGGTATTAAGGGCACCGGTTTTGAACTGAACCGATGCATATAACACGTTATTAGGAATTATTTTTGTATAAGATCTTTTTCTTTAATAGAATTTTATTCAAAAAAAAAAAAAAAAAAACTGACACGTCTCACTGCTAGTGTGTCTTTTAATATATAGTTACTAGTATAGAACCCGTGCAATTGCACGCCTTTAAAAGTTTAAATATTAAATCTCACAAATTTAAGTTATAGTTTGCTTAATGCACAATAGTGAAAGACATAATTAATTTAATGTGTATCCATTTATCACAATACTCATTATCATATTTGTAATTTAATGTTTAAGAAAATAGAGCGATTTCCATGGATATGACTAAAAGAATTCAAAATTCCTCAATTGCTCCACTTTTTATCAAAATTCCCTACATACCATCCACACCATCCATCCTCTAATATATATATATATATATATATATATATATATATATATATATATATATATATATATATATATATATATATATTTTCCTAGTTAAGAGCAAAAGCACTAATTAAATTTGCGGTTTTACCTTACATAAAACCGCTAATTGAATTAGCGGTTTTACCTTGCATAAAACCGCTAATTCAATTAGCAGTTCTACGTTATATTAAACCCACAATTCTTTGTAAGGTGATTTTTTACTCAAATAAACCGCTAATTGAATTAACGGCCACAAATTCAATTAGCGGTTTTGTTCTACACCAAAAAAATCATATTTAAATAGGATAGATGACGTGGACGATATGTAGGGAATTTTTATAAAATGTAGTGTAATTGTGGAATTTTTATTTCTTTTAACAATATTCATGGAAATCACTCAAGAAAATAAACAGAAACAAAGATATGAATATGATTTATGCTCTTTATTGATAAATTTTACCTTTTAGATCAAAATTTACGCCCATTTACATATCTCATGCAACATCCTTCATGTGTATTTTTGTTTTAATCAAGCTAATAAAAACATACTTTCTCAATCCCATAATGTTGTCATAGAACATAAAAATCGAGTTTATCATTGTCCATATTGTACATCTTTATCTTTAAATGATCAATAGTTACACCAATATAAATAAAAGTTACGAATATCTATTTAGGGGTCGTGTAGTTCATGAAATATATGAATGAGGTATAGGTTATAAATGGTTTCAAATGGTTTAACCTATACCATGTTTAACCCATATCTCAATCACCCAAGGTACGGGGTTTGGAAATCCAAAGGGATAGATGGATTTGACAACATTTTGACCCATCCAATATACTTGAAGTACTTATCAAACAAAAGAAGGAAAAACTCATTACAAAATTGAACCAAACATACACTTGGTAGTAAGAAAAATATAGTTAACATCTGAGGGTATTTAGGAACTGAACTAAATAGAGGTTTTTAATCTCCATGCTTGCATTCGCATTACATATATTTAGAACTCAGATATATTTTCTCATCACTTGATAATAAGTAATTATTCATAATACCTATATTATCATGAGTTGGGGTTAAAATTACTATTTCTTGAAAGTATTTTGTATCCCATAAATTATGCAAAATAAAAGGATAAGTACTTTCTGCGATAGCTTTAACTAAATTAGATGCTTTCAAAATTGCTCTTTCATTAGGGATTCCTATTATTCTTTCACCGTCATTTGGCTCCCCTAATTTACCATCTCCAATTAAAAATACTTTTATAAATTTATGAATTTTCTTCCAAGGGTAAGCGGTGGTAAGTAGCTAGCTGCTACGAATGTATCCCAAAACATAGTAAAATAATATCATTTTATTTTTAAGATTTAAGTCTTGACCATCCAGTTATAAAAAGATAATTTATTATATCATCGGTAATAATAATATTATTATCATAAAATATAGATATACTCATATACTATAACAAATGTGTTAATATATTTAATATATTGAATCTCAATTTATTATTAGTAATATCATATTGTTATCATAAATTAATAATTATATTAAAATAAATTTGTTTACTAAGTGTATCATATATGTCTGATATAAATAATGTTTTGTAGCATGAATATCGGTCTCAAAAGATTAATTTTTTGGTATATATTCTATTACCATAATCTTTAATATCTTATTTGACAAAACATTTTGTCAGTCATTTATAGCTAATGAAAAAGTATTGAAATTTCATTAGTTATTTAATTTACCATGATCCATTAATAATATGATATTTTAAAAATAAAGTTTTTTATTTAAGGTTGGGAAAAGAAGCGAATAATTTTTAACGTTAAGGCAATAACTGTTAGTTTGGTTTTAAATGCTTGTCTTTTGTATGGTTGTAGACTATTATAATTCTTAATTATGCAATTGCACGTGTTAAAATATTTAGACATACACATATTTTAATTAATCTGAACAAATACTTTGTCAAAAAGAAACATACCTTTATTGAAATAAAAAAATGTCAAGAATCTCATGCAAGATGAAATATTGTATTCAAGATAATACAATAATTTGATGTGTGATATTTTTTTTTTTTACAAGAAGAAAAAGGATTAATGAAAGATAGCCAAACGGCACTTACAAACAATTCCGAGGAAAATTAGAATTCCAACACAAGTACAAATCACCTTAGAACTAGTTACATCGCAGATTCGATCGACAATCGCCTTAATAAAAAAAACTTCATCCGAAGCAATACAATATGTGAGTTAGCACTAATTCGGCTTGAGATCCACTGACGAATAATTGTTTGAGTGAAAATGCTCATATGGTCTACAAGATACTTTCGGAGATTATAAAACCCTAAATCTTCAATATTCGGCAGACAAGCACAAAAAGAAAGTAATCCTAATAGAATAACCACCATCTCAAAGATGGGATCCATTTATTGAAAGCAATTAAAAAAAAATTTGGGGCTTACCACCGGTAAAAACACCGATGGAAGCCCCTACAAAGATTCACAAAAGAGATCAGAAGAAAAGAGATGAAAGAGAAGAGAGAAAAGGAGAAGAATGAAGGAAAACCTTCAAAAAAGTTTTAAAAATCTAGCAATGGAGGTTAGAAAAACTCTTCTAAGGGAGAAACCCTAGAAGGAACCAAACCCCCCCCCCCTCCCCAATGAGAAACCCTAGAGGGAACCGATTTAATTTTTGTGCTTTTGATGTATGATATTATAAGTAATTATAATCAGAAATTATATCTGTCATATGTATAATCATATTAAGGAAGTAGGTATATTATGATAACTGGTAAATAATAAGCAGTATAAAATGTTTATATTATTTTTAACACATATAATATTGATTTATTTAGTTGATATATTTAGGGGTGGAAAATAAAGCGGGAAATTCTTTTACCATAGAGCAACACGTGTCAAAGTATAGTTCGAGTGCCCTCTATTTTAGTATATATGTATACTAAATACTAGATAATACCCGAGCCATGCTCAGTTTTTAATGAGGGTAATTGAAATTAAATATAGAAGTCTCATGAAAAATGTGATATAAAAGTCCATCATAATAATAAATAATTAAAGTATAAAAACGAAAAAATAGAGTTTAGGAGGGAAAATTCCCTCCAAAAAAATCTCTAATATAGTTTACGTATATAGATAGATGGGCTTAACATTTGAGCGGGAAAATTTTTCATGAAGTAGGGCCATGTGTACAGCTTTGGGAAAAGATTATATCAGCGGTTACTACTTTAATATTAGTTATAGATATATATAAATTGTTGATTATTGGTTGATTATAAATAAGCATTAAATAACTTTACTTATTTGATACGGAGTATTAGTTTATAATTACGTAGTACATACAAAATCACGCGTAAACTAGTGTAAAAGTTTAATCAATGATTCAGTGCGTCTTGTGTGCGGCTAGCCACACTATCCTATGTGGCCGCTTGTAAAAGAACAAAATAACCCCTACATATAACATTGACCGAGTAACTTGTGTAATATTGACTGAGTAATCCCTATAACACTGTCCGAGTAACCTCTATAACACTGAAGATGTAAGTTATGTAACCTTTATAATACTAACCAAATAAACCCTATAACACTAAGAAGTAAAATAAAATAAATTGCGAGAAACGATTGGGGTTGTGTATAGTATTTTCCTAAAAGTAAAATAAAATAAGTTGTGCCATCACTGTTAGGCACGTGTATCTCGATTTATGAGCCAATAAATTATTCGGTGACGATTTGAGGGTCATATTGACTCTTAAGGTTCCAATTAAAGGTTAAAATTGAAAAAAAAAAATCATTTTGTGTGCTAAAAAAATGTCTTGGTTGCGTATTATTATTTTCAAGACCATAAATTGTTCATTTAGGATTAAGGAATTATTTTGGCCCTTTAGAATCCAAATTATGGTAAAAATGGCCAAAAAAATACCAAAAATATCTTAATTTACGTGTAAAAAATCTCGGTTTTGTGTGTCAAATATATTTCCGTTTGTGTGTCAATATGTATGTGGTTGGCCACAACGTGTGGCCAGCCATTATAGAGGTTATTTCGTCAGTGTTACAGAGGTTAATTGGTCAGTGCTAAAGGGGTTATTTCGTCAATGTTATAGGGATCACTCAGTCAGTGTTAAAAAGGTTATTTAGTCACTTTATGTTCACGGAATCATTTCGTTTTATTTTTACTGTTTCTTAAAAAAAAAAAAAAAAATGCACTGCGTGACCTGTGCCTCTGCTGTGCAATTTAGCGAAAGCTGGTAAGTTTTTTTTTTTTTTTTTTTTCGTACTTAATCAGTGAATAAAAAAAATGTGCGTTATTTACTTATTCAGCACCTCAAACTGTTTCCTACTCAAATCAATTCATCAAATTATTACTGTTCCCACTATTACAATTTTAAACCCTAATAAAAACCCAGCAAAAAATTTCCAGGAAACAAATGAATAAGAACTAAGATTTTCATGGAAATGTTTTCTACTGCTGCTGGGTCAACTTCATCAAGGTTTGATTTTCTTAAAGACCCATTTCCTAAAATAATTTAATTTTTACATTTAAATCTGTACATTTGATATTGATGCATTTGAAGTTATCAGCTTTTAATTACACAGTAGAAATTACTTTTAATGACAATTTTATTGGTAATTTGGACTTTGGAGTGTTATCCCACGATTTTATTACTACACTTTGTTGATTATATAATTGTGTTCTATCTACTTATGTAATGTAATATTGATGGGCAAATATATAATCAAATTGGGTTTTAGTTAGTGGGCATAATTTTTATAACACGGGTTAATGTTGAAGTTTGTATAATGATATTTTGCTGTCTGAAATTGAATCAGGGACTTTATTTCTTTGATGGGTAATGGGTTTGCTGCAGCAATGTGGATAGTTGGGAGTAGAGTGAGAGGTAATACTTCTTGTTATGCAATGTCTGAGTTTATATTATATACTTTGTTGCACATAATCTCTTCTGTATTATTATTTATTTGCATAACACTTGAGTAAGCTTGGACTTCCTCTTGATTATTAAGAGCATATTTTTTTCGGGTAACCGTTTTTTGAATGTTCTTAAATAGATTTTGGGTTAATCATGATTTTGTTATGTATCCTTACAAGCTCCATTAGTGTGTGAGAATCCCTTTCCCAAGGATAAATGTAGTTTGATAACATGTGGTCATGCTTCTCAAAATTAATGGGAGAAAAAGGATATTTTGATTTTGATTTTAGTTCAGTTCTTATGTTAACCAATGTAAATTAATTCCAAGTAGTGGCTGATATATATTTTGATGAAGCTATTTAGCCTATCTTAGCTTTTCTAAAGGTTTGTTACTTTGTGCTGTTCAAGTTATCCAGCTGAATAATAAGGTTAGTTGGTCTCTGCCAAAATATAAAGTTAGTTGGTGTTTAATAGGATTTGGTATGTCAGGCCCTGTGACATCAGCGTTTAACTAAAGTGTTGGGGTAATGTCTCTATATTTGCTTTTTACATTGTTTTTCTATTATAATACTTCTACATACTTTGTTGACAATGGAAGTGGATAGGAAGGAAGTTCCAGCATGACAACAAGTTAATATCACTTCATCATGATACTTCAAAGTTATCCTATCTATTTGTATTCTCACTGTTCTCCGCTTGAGATTTCATTGTTTATGTTGCACTTTCTGTGGAATTTTGCCTAAACTCATAATATGATCTTTTTTTGGGTTGTGCTAAGAACTCTTTTCCATTCCTTTAATATTGAGAAGATGTAGGAGAACATATGTAATTACCTGATAATGCATGTTATTTCAATAATCATAATACTCTTCTTTTTTTTTCTTACCAGAGTTCCTCTACAGTGACTGGTAAGATAGGGATTATGGTGAAGCATTACAAAACCCCCTCTCACGGTCAGCAATCAATAAAATTTGGGACTAAACCACTTAAGGGTCCTAATATTGAGATTGCTGATTTTGCTGATGAAAGTGCTGTACAGATTTCATCAATTGACAACAAACATGGAAAGGAAAGTTTGACATCGCAGTCTCCTGAGATTCTGAGCACAAGTGAGCTCATTTCAGCAGTGGGGCAAGTATGGGGTTGTGCTAGCCGCTCTCTTGCACGCTATCAACCAAAAGCAAGCTTTGACTGCTCAGGCACTGTTTGTCAAAAAGAAAATGATTCACGTTTATCGGTTGAGAATGATGATTTTGGCTTTATTAATATTTTTGGCAGTGGATGCCTTCATGTTGACTTAGACTCTTCCCACTATTTTTCATGCATTATGCAACAAAGTTTAAAAATCACAAGAGCAACTCGAAGAATACATTATAATCCATTTGATGACCAATTTGTTGAGAACATCTTTTGCCAAATTGGAGATGAAAATTCCAACAAGCCTGAAGTCAGGTTGAAGAAGAAGAGTCTTGCAGATCTAGGAGCCCTTTACAACTTAATGAAAACATATGGATGGATGAGCCAAGTTTTAGTTTCGCCAAAGCGTCCTATGTCTGCGTCTGGTGAGGTCAAGAAGATTGTTGAGGCCTTCACCTCCAAGGGTGCTGTTTTCCATTGTTCTCCTGTATCTGGAATGAATTCTAGCAATAAAGGAACTGAAAATCTTGAGATTTGTGTTGATAGGCCCAGCCTAAAGGATTTAGATTCTCATGGGAGCGATGAAGTCATTATGTGTAAAAGAAAATCTGTGTCCTTTTTGTATACAGATACTCTCCTCCATGGGGTTCAGAAAGAACAATTTGCAGCTAGTATGCCTACGGATTTGAGTTTTGGACTTCATTTGGATGACCATGTGAGCACTTCAGCTCCAGATTGTACTCAAGAGCCAACTGAGCTCAATGTGGACGGCAATCACTGGTCGGAAAATGAAATGAGTCAATGTGAGAATATCAATATTCAAGAGGAACATCAAAGTGAAAGCTGCCCAGCTGTAACAAACAAGCCTCATCCATTACTAGCTAAACAAGAGCATGCTGTTTCAGGAGCCTTGGCTGGCATAGCTGTTAGTCTATGCTTACATCCAATAGATACAGTTAAAACTATCGTTCAATCATGTCAACCCGGACAGAAGTCTATTTGTCACATAGGGAGATCAGTACTTTCTGAGAGAGGTATACTGTGTTTGAATGAGGTTCTATTGCTTTCCTAGGTTTTTTTTCGTGGTCCTTTGTTAGAAGTATCTGTTGGTTCAGTATTCTATTGGTTACATATGAATTATTGATTTTCATGTTGGGTCTGAATTGTATTTCAGGATTACCTGGACTTTATCGTGGAATAACTAGCAACATTACCGCATCTGCACCTATTTCTGCCATCTACACCTTCACATATGAATCAGTGAAGGAATTCATGCTTCCGTCTCTTGCAAAGGTCTCTTCTTGCATGGCCTTTATTATGTATTCGTTCTATCTGATCAAACCTCTGTTTGATTAGGTTTCGCTGTTGGTATTTCAACATTTAGCTGAGCTAGATGGAATGTTTTCCTTTTGCATTTCATTTCAATATTTTACAGGTTTATGTTACTTTAAGATTTTCTTTTTAATTTCTTCATGTAAACCCTGATTATTTAATGCTTGCAGGAATATCACTCTGTTGCCCATTGCACTGCAGGTGCTTGTGCAAGTATAGCTACATCAGTTGTGTTTACTCCCAGTGAGCGTATAAAGCAGCAGATGCAAGTCAATTCAAAGTATCAAAACTGCTGGTATTCTGCCGCTTTCTCTGTCTTTTGATGTTCCTGCTGTAGTTTGTTGGCTGCATAGACTTCAGGTTTTAAAAATCAATGTACATTTGATGGTTGACCAAACATGAAACATGCAATTTGGTTATGCTTAATATTGTTCTCTGAGAAATTGTCCACCGTAGATCAGTTAATGGGAATCTTTTGTTGTATTTGCACACCTCATTATGCCACATTATGTTAGAAATGTCAATAATGTATGGCTCAATATGATTTGCTATCTTGTTAAGTAGTCTCTTGTCATAACTAGTACTTTTAAACCTTAAAGCTCTTAACTTTTGTGGAGCATCTTAAGGGTGGGGGAAAAAACTTCCGTAGCCCTTAACCAAGATGTCGTTATTTCATTTATTCCTCTTCTCAGAAGCATCAGTTAGAGGATTAAACTTATGTTCTTTTTGGCTATTTCCAGGAATGCAGTGCAGAGAATCATCAACACAGGGGGTCTACGTTCTCTGTATGCTGGTTGGGGTGCTGTACTCTGCAGGAATATACCACACTCAATCATCAAAGTGAGACCTTAAATCAAGTTTTCTTTCATTTTGATACTTCAATTAACTCTAAGAAGTCATCTTATTCAGGGTTTATGCTTCACTATGCAGTTCTACACTTATGAAAGCCTGAAGCAAATGCTCATGTCATCGCACCCACCCACTAAACAGCCTAGCACTTTGCAAACGGTTTGTTTAAAGCTCACTCTATGCTTCTGTATTTGGTGGTAGACTTGCCTCCTGCATGCTAAAGATTTGGTATTTTTATAAAGCTTACTAAGATTTTAAAAAAAATAAAATTATAGTGTGCTTTTATTGAAGCATATTGATTGAGCAAGAGAATAGGTGTTTAATCTATACTAGATGAGACTCTGCCCACTCATTTTCACATTTAATACTCTTGGTTTACCGAGTTTTTCCTTGCTTCTTAAATTCATATACAGCTGCTATGTGGAGGATTGGCTGGATCTACTGCTGCTTTGTTTTCTACTCCATTTGATGTGGTGAAAACAAGATTACAAACTCAGGTCTGTTAGCAATTTATATACTTGTTCTTTATAGCTGAGCTTCCCTTGTCTATGATTCAATTCAAATCATGATGTATAGTTGTATACTACCTCTTTGCAGAATTAGTAGTCACAATGTCCCAACTCCCAATCAGCCATAATTTACTAAAATGCCCTTTATAATACTTGCCTTCTTTTCTATTTTCTCTCGATCACTCCATTAAAGTGTGGGTTTGTTTTGAAATCTAAACATAACCTAAATTTATCTTAGAATTTTGACAATTGATCTTTGACATCCCAAAATAGTTTGACTGCTACTATGAGACAGACCATAAATATTGAAAAAAAGCAACCATATAATGTAGTGGAGCTGAGAAATCAGGCTCGACTATTTCATGAGCTGTCTGCCTGTCCCAATAGGTTATTATGTTTGATCTAGAAGAGTTTGATCATTGTCTTTTTCCATACTGGATATGATACTTTTGGTCGTGACAAAGAGCTTTGTTGAAGCAGATGCCTGGATCTACACAGAAATACCATAGCATTTTTAACACCCTTCAAGATATTTGTGAGCATGAAGGTGTTAGAGGTCTTTACAGGTATAATTTTCTGAACCATTTTCTTGTTGGCATGGTTTTGTTTATCTTCTTGTGGTGGATGTTGTGACCGTAACCTCCGTACATTGTGTCGTATTTTAAGAACTGTTGTTCATGCCGAAAAGTGAAAAAGCAACGGCTAGTTTATTTCATAAATTAATCATCCATCATGAAAATTGATAAATGTATAGTCCTTGCTGTGTGATCCCTGGATGTTACACTGAATCATCGTCTTTTTTGCCCTTGGCTTTTGTAGCTTTAATATATTATTTCAAAACTTTGACTTGAAGATTAAGCAATAAAAGCAACGTGCTTCAATTATTGCCTATAAAAATGCAAAAGAGCTGCCTAAGAAGTATTATATATAAAGTTTTAACTACTTTTTTTGCTTCAAGCATCCAACTCACACTTATATCTAGGTTTAAGAACCATTTTAATATGGAAATGTGCGGAAGAGCAATATGGGGAAAACTCTGAAAAGATAAAACTGCGGAAAATACTAGTTTTTACATGTTTGGCTGTTTAATGTGTAATATTGTTGAAAAGCAAATGATTTCACAAATTTTCTTTGCTTAGTTTGTAAGAAGGGAAAAAAGACGAAAAACAAGTGGTAATGTGTAACTAAATCGGTCAAATGTATTTGAACATAAAATTTTTCCGATCTTACTTTTCCATGGCCTCCCTCCCAATATAAAAACATAATACGTAAAATTATATGGTTTCGTTTTATTTTCCTCCTTAAGTTTAAGTTCAATAGTTAACCTAGCACCTAATGAACATTCTTTGATCAAAGATGGGGGCTTTTGTGATCAGGGGTTTGATTCCGAGGCTTGCTATGTATATGTCCCAAGGAGCACTGTTTTTTGCATCATATGAATTTTTGAAAGGTTTTTTGTCTTTGGAGCTACGCCAACATAAATCAGAGATGTTACAGCATAAACAGGACAGCAACGACGATCCACTATTGTCATTATGAGTATTGCAACTTTAATAGTCATTTGCTCGTCTGTTCAGCAGTGGAACGCTCATTTTTGCTCGAAGATGTAAAGTATATTCACTGCTTCACCCAGATCATATTCATACTAGAGTGAGCTTAGGAAGTCCCATTCAGAATATATCTGAGCTATTCTTTTGTATAGATTATGTGCAGTGTATAATTGCCCGAAATTTTTTGTACACCGGCCTATATATACTTGAGAGATGAATCAACATACAAGTACTATTTTTGTTCAAGAAAGTGATTGCATTTTGCTTCACCTATATTTGAAATTCAATCAATAAAATCAATATCGGCTAGTTTTTAAACCATATATCCTGATCTTTTGACTTATTTTATTGATTTTTAAATAAGTCGAAATTATTGCATGAGCCTTTCTAGATGCTATCCCTATTTATATACTAGAAAGAAAATCATGATACAACACTCATAGATGGATAGACCACCCATTTAGTAATTAATTGAAAGAACTCTTATTTTTCAACCTTTTGTTAAAATTGTTTCATGATTGAAATGATTATCCTTTTAAATAGAGACTCATGTCTCTTGAACACGAAATGTGTAAAAATAAACTGCTTCCACATTCTCAAGTCATATTCTTTATGTGATTTTTCTTTCTACATTACATAAAAAGTTTTTATAGAACAAAGAGAGTAGATGATACAGAGTACATAATGTCCTTTCCTGTTTGTTTCTTTTGACATATATATGGCGGTGTTTATTCTTATTCAATTTGACAGAAATTAAACACAAATGTCTTGTAGATCAACGTAGAAATACAATCTAAACTAAACGGCTGTCCTTTGTATCTCAATAGTTATATCATGTAACCAATCATATCTTTGTGGAAGGTTAATAATGTAACTATCAAAAAGTACAGTATGATCAAAAAGTACAGTATTATCCAGTTTTGTTCTTTAATCCTCAAATGTTCTACTCCGATCCATAACAAGTACTTGGATCCCAATATAGAATCAAACCTGTAGCTGATGAACCTGTAGCAGAGGAGATCTTCATAGTTCACACTTCACAGTAAAGAAAGATGAAGAGATCAGCCACAATTCAAGGACTAAAAGCAGAATGCCATTCTGCATAAAATTCTTTCCATAAAGATTTATTACATTATTTGCAATACATATTTTGCTAAAATACAAAAGCTCTTCTTTTGGCTCCAAAATCTACCGTGACCTGATGTTTAGAACCATAAACATTCAACTAATCTCTTTCTCTAGCGCCCTATAAATTACAAGTACAAAATTGAATCAAGATGATATAAGGGTACAAGAAAAGAAAATGAAAACAAAAGGAGAAACCTAGCTATTCCGCCTAAAATGATCAGATGATCTTAGCCCTCTCTATGATCTACCAAATATGGACAGTATATTTCCTTTCTGAAAGTCTTACTACTGAACAGATACTCCAAGTATACTCTCTGCATTCAGATGACCTTTGGAGGTTCTGACGTGTAAAGTTTCCCAAAGTTCTTGTGGAAATCAGATGTAAAATTTTCAATTGGGCTCTGAAATGCAAGAGTTGTGGAGATTTAGTTCCATTGTTAACAAAAAAACTGAATGAGCTACACTCGGGCAATAGGAGAAAAGGGTGGATTCAGCACAAAAGATGGCTGATGTTCTTCTGCGGCCTTTGCAACTTTCTTCTTTTCCTCTTCTGTGACTGCTTCGATCAAGATTTTCACTTCATCCTCAACCAGAACCTTCAGAGAGCTACTCTGCAATAACTCTTTGCTTTTCTCTTGCTCAACCAAGCTAGAAGCTTCTGTTGTGTGCATGATTGAAACACAGACAGCAAAAGCCTGTAGTACTGATAGTTGTGCATGGAAATCTACTGCATATTTCCCCTTCTCGGTGATTTTTATGGTCAAAGCTGGCATGTTTTCTTTTCCTCCCTACAAAAGAAATTTCAATAATGTATCAGACCTAAAAGTGGGAAAAACAGAAGTGAAAGAAGAATTCTTTAAGGGATTCGAAGATATGTACGCCACATCCTCATTAATCATCACTGCTTTGGTACCAAAATGCTTCCCCTAAAGAGGAGGAACAAAGTCTTCATTCTAGTACTTCAAGATATGAATATAGCTAACATCAAGTTTTGGAATCTGACATTGTGGCGCTCCAATTAAGTTTAAGGCCGAATTGGGAGGCAGATCCACAGGTGCAACTTTTTCCATACTCTTGACACTGATTTACCTACTCCTAGGAAGTGCTAATCAACCTTATATTACTAAATTCTCATTAGCGGTTTTTTGTTAAATTTTTTTAAATGTCATGATATTCTACCAGGAGACCTGGACCAATCTTATAGGAATGGAGAAACACGGCAATATGCAGACTCAAGGCTAAGTGAGATGGCTTGCCACTTTGCAAAAATATGAACGTATATAGATCACCATCAATTTCGATTATAACTACAGTTACCAAGCAAAGAAGTAGACCCAAGTCATTTACGTAACATAAATGCTGGTAACTTTGGGTTCACCTATTCTATCCAAATACTAATTGGTGTTATCACTTTCCAAAAGACCTAAAGCTACAGTCAGGAAAAACAGTGAAACATTGATCACAATATGATCTGATTAAAGAAAATTCCTACATTTCTTGCATAGGAGAAGAAATTACCTGAATATAGAGTTGCAAAGGCTGATCCTTCTCTAAAATAGCGTGCTGATCCTTGCATTGAGTACTTGGATTACCAAAAACAAGAAGGGGGCAAGCCATATCCCATCCACCACATTCGCAGCCTCCACCTAGCCTCCATCTATCGAGTAATGAAGAAGGCCCTCTACTTTCACCGCTAGTTGGCAAACCATGGTTCCCCAACGGGGTCACTACATTCACCTTTACTGGGCTACTATCATCACGCAAGTCCTTTGTAACCTGGTCACTATATTTATTTCCCCTTTTATATTTTAAGCTCTCTCTTTTCTCAAAGGGATTTTGAACAACAACAGCTGCAATTTCAAAGCTTGGTCGCAAATCTGCTTGGGCCCATGGGTAAGGAGTAGAGAAATCTGCAGTGCAATTGTCAACAGCATTCATGGTTGGCAGTCTAGGCTTTGAGACACCAAACAAATCATCCAATTCAATATTTCCTTCTACCGAACTTTCACTAGAAACACCCACAACTATGGAATTTTCAGAGCTGTTGATCTCTTCTTCAGCAGTGACACTTTTTCTTGCATGAGCAATATCATACATCACGAACTCTGTCATCATCGAGTTGCTAAAAGCTCCACCACCTCTTAGCTCCGAGCATAAGTAACACTGTACCTGCATCTGTCCAACCATGGGAGAATCTTTATTGCTGTACTTCACTCCCCAACCACCTGCACTACTTCTCTTTTTACCCTGAACAGAATGAAAAGTATACACCCAATTAAGTGCATTTTCCGCCTTCCATGTTTTTGCCACATACAAATCATCGGAGTTTGCCATCGAGAACTCAAAGTATGGGACTCCATGCTTCTGCTCCATCTTCAGATTACCTCTAAGGTGAGCAGGTGAGCATGGTGAGACAACCTGCTGCGGCTCTTTCTTGACAGGTGGGGTTTCAGTAGTCTCCACATTTGGCACTGCACTTGAAAAATCATGTAACAAGGATTTCCGTAGTGTTTTAGCTTTCCCAATATCTGCTAAGCTCAATGATTTGGCATCATATGAAGGAGTTCGATGAGACTTAGACTTTGTAAAAGGGTCAAACATCTTTTTGAAACGTGTTTTCGGGCTTCCTTTGGTTTTATCCCCTTCTGAATGAGTTGGGGAATGTGGCATTGCAAGCTTGGCAGAGAGAGACTTGTTCAAAGCAAGAGAGTCTCTCTCTTTGAGGGCATTAGCATTGTTCGAAGGACTATTCACTCGTTCACATCTGAACTTCTGATTTTTCATTGAGTCCCTCTCAGCACATGAACCCGAATCACTTTGTCGCTCTTTCAAATCCATATAACACGGCTGTCTAGGAGGCTTAGCAGAAGATACAGCATCCGAATTCAATGATACAACTGATGATCTCTTCTGCTCAGGCTCAGCTCGGGCTTCCTCATCAGAACCGCATATAGAATCTAGTATACTAAAGGAGAAGGGTGTCTCACTATTGAGTGAAAACTCAACCTTTTTTCTCCCACCCTGAGTTTCCGGCCTCTTAAATCTTCTATCTGTGGAGCTCTGATACACCGAGCCACGCCTCAGGAAATCATTGCATTCCAACTCAACATTTCCTGATGGAAGATTCTTACAAGAAACACTCCGATAATTCCGAAACTTAATCTCCGTAAATCCTTTCTCTTCTAAACTTACTAAATCATAATCTTCATTCCTAGAACTGGTTCTTCCTTTTCTACTACTCCTACGCTCAACCTTTTTCGGTTGCTGCGGAGAAGGAAGAACAGTTCTAGGGCTCCGACCTACTTTGCAGAATTTATCAAATTCCAATTCCATATTTACACCCATTGATGCATCTATAATTCTGCAAGAAAAAATACAATACATAACAGAATCAATATAAGCATTAAACAGCACAATATATGTAAACAAGAAAGATTTCGGAAAAAGGAAAATATTCCATAATCAACATTATGTAACAAAGTTTTCAGCCACATAATAACCATATATAACTATATATTGAAACAAAATAAACAAGCCTTCTCTATCTTAGGAATGTATGAAATTGAGTAATTATGGGTCCTCTAATTTGCATCCCCAAGACCTAAAATCGAATCCCGTCTACGTCATTACCCAATACCACTCTCAATACACACACAAATATGACTAATCAGACAACTATTTCCATCCAATAGACTACAAAAATCAAGGATTTTTATGATTAACCTACAAAATCAATCATAACTAGGAAAACAAAACATTATGCAATCAATGTCCTACAAAAAATAGTACCATTGTACACTCCATTTGCTGAGAAACCAAGAAAAGACCCATTTTTGCTGAAAATGGCGGACACTAATCTGGGTTTACACCCACAAACTTCAAATTCAAGGGCAGAAATTAACCCAAAAAGATATGATTTTTAAGGGTTCATATCTTCTTACAATATACAAAGCACCCAAATAAGAGGCAAATAAACATTTAATTACAATAAAGCAAACATTAGTACCAAAATTTTTTTACCTTTAATTACACTTGCATTTCAAGCCAGAAAAATTAAAATGGCTAATTATTTGATTCTAACAAACTGGGTATACCCCACTTCAGATCTCACAGTAGTGAACTCAAAGAAATGTACAAACCCAACAAACTTCAAATCATTTTCTTCCAATTTCAAATAGAGCTTCAACTTCAAGCAATTAAACCCATTTGAAAAAACCAATCAAATTTATTTGACCATTAAAGTGAAAATCAACCTCCAAATAATCAGAAGAAGAACATAGATAAATAAGCAATAATGAAGTGTTACCCAGAAAAAGGGTGTTTTTTTAGAGAGAGAAAATAATGAATGAATGAATGAATGAAAGAAAGGAAGAGAGAGAATGAGCATGCCTTGTAATCAGGAGGAGAGAGAAAGAGGAAAAGAGAGAAAGACAGTAAGCAGCTGTGAGTACAGTTGATGTCCATTAAAGTAAGTTAAGAAACCATTCTTTTCTCATTTAACTCATCATTTTGCTACTTGCTACTAGTAGTAGTGAAATTTTTTGTGTTTTTTTTTTTTTTTTTGAGAAATTTCTTACTCCATCTTTTTCACTTTAAATATTTTGGGGGCAAATCCCATTTTTCAAGAATCAAAGATGCCATTTTGATTTTGGTTGTGGGGATACAGTCTTATTGCTGTAAGATTGTGAGTTTATGATTGAAAAGACGATCTTACCCTTTGAATTTAACATTTTTCAAAGTACAACTTGTTGAATTGTAATTCTTCATAGGATTTAGGAAAATAACCTTGGCACTCCAAAAAATTATTTTGGCGCTTTGGTTAAGATATGCAGTTTTATGTGTTTTACTGTCAAAAAAGTGTGTGGAACTAATCTTCCAAAAAAAAAAAAAAAAAAGAGTGCGGAACTAAGTCACGTATTATCAATTCAGAGTCCCTACCCTAAAAATTTCTATTGAAAAGTAGGGGTAATAACGAGTCTATTAGGCTTGTGCACTAAATTTAGTTTTTGTGAACCAAACACAACGGTACTCAACTCAAGAAACTCGTGAATATGATTGAAATACTTCTCTTACTATTCTACTTTAAATAATATAACATCTAATTAAAAATTATCCAAAAAAATTTGAACACATATTGGTGAAGATTTCAAAAGTTACTCTGTGTTGAGTATGAAAATACTCCTGATAGTTATAAAAACATTACTGTATGTAGTACGTACGACATAAGGCTGTCGAGAATTTAAAACTGCTTAAATGCAAATGTTACTAGATAAAGGCGAACAACTCGATGTCAACCTTAATCTCAATCTCAATTTCGACTCGTTTACATGCCTAGTAGCAAGATCCGAAATAGTAGCCACAGACTCACAACTCACAACACGGAAATCCTATCAAGCTACAAGTCTCAACAATCTACCACAAGCCAAGATCTGAAGATCAATATATGGTAACAACATTTAAGCCAGTCCAAGCAAGTAAGAGGAGATACGGTTGAATATTTAAATAGGGGCAATTACTGCAACAGGACATTATCTTATTATTATTGCGAATATTAAGACAGTTATTAATTATGACCACCTTATACTAATTTTTAGGCTTGGACCTGATTCTCCAACTATTTCAATTATATAAAAGTTATAATTTGAATAGGGAATTGTAAATCTTTGCTTTAAAATAACGTTAATTTCCTTACCTTTTTATTTTCTTTATTTATTTTTAAGGTGTTACATTTGGGTATGTAGTTGTCACACAAAGTATCTCTTTAGTTATACTATACTTCTAATTAATACAATATTATGCTGTTGCTAATCACTTTTAAGGAAGCCTAACCTTTTTTCCTAGCCCCTACCCACCACATATTATTATTATTATTATTATTATTATTATTATTATTATTATTATTATTATTATTATTATTATTATTATTATTATTATTATTATTATTATTATTATTATTATTATTATTATTATTATTATTATTATTATTATTATTATTAAGCATAGAAGAATCCTCCAACATATACTACAAAGAGAAAGATGACATGTATTATAGTTGGGAAAGGGTGGTTTTGATGCCTTTCTTAATTTCTAGTCCAATAGGCTTGCTTTTATTAGTGTTATTAGAATGATTTTTTTCTTCTTGCTATAAATTTAGTATGTACAATTTTGGGAATATTATTAACTATAGACAATAACTAATGCTGGAATTTATAGGTCGATCAAGAATTCTTAAATGTGATGTTCTCGTATATATTTTTGGGAGAACAACCAATTATCTCTGTTTTTAACTTATTATTGGGGTTGATTGCTACTTGGCTATTAAGGACTTCAAGGTCCAACCATCCAAATATTTTTTTTATTTTGAAAATTCTTACACTATATTTGGTGTAATTCAAGATAAGTTTATCTACAAAATATTTTTACAAAAAATATTACTAGTAAAACAAAATTTAGATAAATCAAAATCAAATAGGGGCTTCTCATATTTGTATGAGATAGTAATAGTTATAGACCAAGAGTTGATCAAAACTATATAATTGAGTCTCTGGGCTCGACTCGAGTGCATAGTTTCATACTTAGTATTATTTTGATCTTTGGTATAACCCAACCTTGATTTTACATAATTTGGGTAGAGATATACTTGTACATATCGAAAAATAAAGTGACCTAAATTGATCAATGATTAGCTCTAACCTTTCATCAACACTTAAATTATTATCTATAATATTAAGCTAGTTCGTTTCTCATGAGCTGGAGGAAGTAGTTTAAATTCATTTTATCTTTGTGTTTCGAGGTTTTCTATGTCCCTTGGGAGAGTTACGTCACTAAGTCTGGACTCCGGGCGCCTGTACCTGCAAAATAACGGAGACTCCGGGTGGTGGGAACTCCGCCTCCGACGATCAAGTTAGAACGTGTACGGAGAATGTAAAAAGCTGCGGGAAGTAAAGTGAGATCTTCTCAGATTTTTTGATCAGATGTTTTTCTCTGTTTTCGATAGAATTGATATAATCATTGAATGTGTTTTTTAATATTGAATTCCCCCTTTTTTTCCAAAGTGGGGTAAATCTCCCTATTTATAGGGTTATTGGAATTTGTGCCCCTGTTCTAGGTTACGTAAACCTAGGACTGATGGGTTGCGCCGTTTTTTAGCAGTCTAGGGAATTGGGCCTTGAAGGCCATCTTTTTCCTTGCTGATTTGTGGTGCCACGTGTCAACTGGTAAGTGGCCATTATTAGACCTGTCCTGGGGTAACACGTGTCCCATTTTGAGTAGGCCACGTGACATGAGTATTTTTACCCAAATCATTTGCCCTTCACAGGAGTCACGTGGCGCCTATGACACTTGTCACTTAGGCATTGGTGAATAGTTTTAACTGTTCACCTTCTTGGGGAAATTACAGAGATACCCCTGAATTTACCCCTCTATAAATATGGTTTTACTCCTCCCTCATTTTTGACATTTTCAAAAAAAGTCTAGAGAGAGAAATTCAAACGCTCTAGAGAGAGAAAATTTGACAACCGTCTGTGTATCTCACAAACAGCTGCTTGATTTCTGCCTGCCTGATACAGCCGGTCAGCGCTTGAGACTTCTTTGTTCCTGCAATAAGGTAATCGTCTCTCCTTTTTCCAGCTCTTTCAAGCTTTTTACCGTTTGTATATATTGCATTGAATAAGGGATTCACCCACAACACACACGGCACAGTCTAGGACAGTAGTCAGCCGGTCTCCTGGTTTGGCTGAGTCTAGGACTGGGGGTGACGTCTATGGGTGTTTGGACCACCCTTGTTCTTCCCCGAATCCGACCGTCTCTGTGCATGTACAGGACAATAAGGCTTGGACGATGCAAACGGCACTTAATCCAAATTATAGGTCAGACGGGCTCAGCTGAGGCGCCGGCTGATAGAGAATATGACTATCCTCCGGGTGTACCCAGCACTCCGAGTGACGACATTTTGGAAGATTCTGATGAAGGAGACGGCGATGAGGCCGTCCAACGATCTGACTCAGAGGTGTCGATCTCACTGCAGGCGGATGCCGACAGTGAGGAAGGTGAGGCGTCCCAGTGGCCGTCTATGAACAACCCAACAGAGGCTCATATATCCGCCAGGGATAGAATCACCCTAGAAGCAAGCTTTCCCGCCTTTGTAGATAAATGCCCAATGGGGGATAGGTGGGAAATAATTGTGCCGCCTGCTGAGGCGACAATCGTCTAGGAGGACGATATTGAACATGCCGACAATTATTTCGGCTGTTATGAGGCGGCTTTCAAAGCCCGGCCTCCGCTTCCCCCTTCATGACGCAGTCAAAGCCATCTTAAGGGGCTATGAAATTGGCGTATGGCAACTCACACCCAATTCCTGGGTGAATATCCTTTGATATATCACCACCTGCGAGATACAGAACTTAACGCCCAGCTGGGAGGCGTTTGTACACATGAACTACTTAATCCGTGCCCCAGGCGGCTGGAGGGTGTGGTACACTTTAACCACGCATTCGAAGTACATGATGACGCTGGATAAACCGTCTAAGTGGAGCAACTGATGGAAGAGCAAGTTCTACTTGATTTCCTCCCCATCCAAACGTCAAAACCATCTCCTCCGCCGGTATAATAAGAAATCGGCTCTCTTGGGAACAAAGTGCGCCCTTCCGCATATCCCTGAGGAGGCTTGGTCATAGATAATAGAGCCGAAGTTCTTCAAAACAACCACCATGCCTCTGGAAGACGGCACTGAAATAATTGTACCCTAGAATTAAGTACCCCACCCGGATTGGAAAAAAGATGAGGCTTTCCTCTCCGCCTGTGGTCTTAGTACCATGTTTGAGAGATGTACGTTAACCATCTAATTGATACTTTGATGCCGCCTCTAGGGTTTTGTGATTTATTTTGTATTTAACCAACCGGTTCCCTTTTGCAAATAAAGCTCTAAAAATGGTGGAATCTGCAAGGACGCCTGCCAGATCAGCCTCATATTCGGATGGATCAAATTGAGAAGAAAAGGGCCCAGTTGGCAACCAAGAATGATGGGGTAAGCTCCGGTTATACCTTTTAACTTGTAAACGTTTATTGTCATCAGACGGCTTTTAACCGGCTATAACCCTTGTGCTCCACTTTTAGGGTGGAAGCAAAAACATTCCACGATCCATCTCCAAGATGCTCAAACCGAAGGCTGAGGAACCTTCCAAGACTTTCCCCAAATTAAGAAAAGCCCCGCCTACCTAGAGGACATAATCTCTGCCGCCTGTGCAGGACCGACCAACTTCTGCAGGCAAAAGCCTAAAGGATCTTGGTCTAAGCACTGAGGCGGCTGGCAAAGAGTCGGGCGTCCCTATGACGCTGAAGGGTGGCATGCCACCTGATGCTACATCCGATCCGGCTCTACAGCGGCTGGGCGTGAGGAGACCCCTCAGTCGGAACCTCAAGGTATGACTAACCGCTTTGATCTCTCATGGCCGCTTGGGTACATGCGGTCAAATCTCAGGTTACCCAATCGGGGGGTTCATCTAGCAGCCGGCACAATACAGGTGCCGCTTATGCTGCTAACTCACCACATCCTTTTATTGGTGCAGATGCCTCTCCAAGGTGGTCGGACCTCCAATAGCACTCTAGGTGGATGCTGAGGTGCTTCACCCGGTCAGAGAAGGACTTGATTCCTGGGTTGCATCAGGTCAACATTAACCGCATCTCCGCCTTACTAGTTGAGGTAACTTAGCCTTTTCAATTTTTTTTTTTTTTTTTTGGTATGTCAGCTAAATTATCTTTTCGACAGCTGAGTTTTGCAGGCAATGCTGAGGGTGGACGAGCTCAAAGCCCCGTTTAAAAGGAAGCAGGAGGAGGTAAGAGACGCCAATGAATGGGCGACTGATGCCCTTAACTCTGCTCAATACTGAACTACTCTAAATGATATTAAGACTAAAGCCAAAAAGATGAAACAGGAGGAGCTGGTTAAGGAGCTCACGGCTGCTGTGGAGACGGCTAACAATAGGGCGTCTGACCTTGAGCTTGAGCTTAAAAATGCCCAGTTAGATCTCAAGGC